CGTCGCAAAGGTTCGATACATATATAACTTTTTTTTTTTTTCACGTAACAGTTGGCGACTTAGGGAGAAATGTAAACAAATTTAGATAAAAATAAATATACTTTATGTCGTCTACAGAAAGGAATTAATCTTACACGTACCCACAGCTTCGTGTCTTTAAGAAATCCGATAGTGAGAAGCCAGTGTCAGAAATTCGATGGTGAGATCCTAATTTGAGAAATTCGATGGTAAGATGCAAGTTTTAGAAATTAGATAGTGAGATCCTAGTCTGTTCTATACTGCGACTCTTATACTATTGTCTAAATACCACAGAATTTGTCTTCTACCGCATAGTGGGCCCCAGAAACCGAACCATCTAAGCCATCTCGACGCCAGAAAGCCTCATTTAATTTTACGTATTAAATCAATGATCGAACGCACTTTTTAGCTCCTATGTCAACTGCTGCTTATCAGCATCAGGATGTGCCCTGCCAGGCAGCGTAGGCGCCCATGTCTCAGAGATATAGGTCCTTGACATTCTGAATCAATGCCACTGATGATATTCCTCTGTGCCATCGTCCCAGGCCGTCAAGCGTCTCCACTCTTAGTCTGCCTCTTCCTCTCCTGTAGTCTCAGACACCACATCTCCAGGGTCTTCGTAATTTCTTTTTTCACTTTCCAAGATTCACTGCCATACAGAAACTCTGGTTCAACATAACATTTCAGTTCTCTTTCTGTTATGTTTAATGAGAGAAACATTTTGCATAAACTATTCCTTATCTTTTGAAAAGCTATCTTATAGGTTTAAAAACCTGATATATGCGACAGCAGCGTTGTTTCCGAGAGTCGTAGGGCTGCAATATAATCTATTCTATTTTTCTTTCTAAGCTTGCAGCTTCTGATTCGCTCCGTAGCAATGTAATGAACAGCCGCTATATGACTTGGCGGGAATTCATGGCGAATCACCTGTGAATGTCCACAAACAGCCAACCATCTGAGGACCTAAGAGCGAAGACCTCTGCTCTGTATAACTGCTATGTCACACAACTGTTAATTGTAGGAGACACCGTCATGTAAATGGGCATTTGGTGAAGAGACACCTAAAACTCCGATTCTTAGAGATGTATTTGTTCCTGTGCCCGCAAGCACACGCATATACATCCACCAATAAACACACACATTCATATATATATATATATATATATATATATATATACACACATACATACATACATACATACATACATACATACATACATACATACATACATACATACATACATACATACATACATACATACATACATACATACATACATACATACATACATACATACACACACATATACATACACACATACATACATACATGCATGCATCCATCCATCCATCCATCCATCCATCCATACATACATACATACATACATACATACATACATACATACATACATACATACATACATACATACATACATACATACATACATACATACATACATACATACATACATACATATACATAAATGCACATACATAAATACATACACCAACACACACACAGTAACACACATCGCACATACACGTACACGCCACAACAAAAAATAAAGTCATCTCCAGAACGGCACTTGTGATAACTCTGTAGATTATTTGGCAGATACTTGTCAGTCACCAAATTGTCTGTGACACCGCAAGCTGCCGCCCGCCGGTGTCTGGGCAGAAATGTATCGTGTGTGCCCTTTAGATCTGAGACGCCAGGGAACACTGGCGAAAAGCCTAGCATAATCTGCCGCATTCTCCAGCAAGGGTGCCTGATTTCAGACGTTTGAAAAGAAGGCACACAAGTGTTGTTTCCCCTTTCCCACTCCCTTCCCCTTTTCCCTGTCCTGATATAGTTATCTAGGTCTTTGATTTCAAGTTGCCATTTTTGTCTTGTTTAAAGTACATACAGTATATCTGACATCAGTGGTTACATAAAAGAATTCCTGGGTATTTTTTTAAAACTTGTTTAGTTTGTTGAACTGGTTCAAGTTAGTGACACGATGTTATGTAAGCGATCTTACCTTACAGAAACCACTGTAAAGGGACAACCAGCAAATGTCAGGGTACCAGCAGACAGCTCAACTGACACGATGGGGGGTGGTGGTGGGTGTTCCTCAGTAGCGAAGCGGTCAAGCCGTTTTCCTCGGCCTTTGAAGATCCGGAGTTCGTTTCATCAACTGTGTCGTGAAGTTCTTAAGGGCAGTTTTTTACGTATATAATTGTGCATTGTCGCCGGAGCCACGGTTTTCGTGCTTAGACCAGCCTTTCTGTGGAAGGGGGGGGGGGAGGGGGAGGGCGAGGCCAAGTCCACAGGATAAAACCCTGTGAGATGAAGTCGACCCTCTTGACTGTATCCTTAACTCACAGGAATTAGTACTAATATAAGATCTGAGGAATCAGATAGGTGAGAAAGCGATCAAGATCGTGAATGATATAATTACATTATATTCGATCACGTTATAAGTACATGTTTTGTACAGTCTCGACCGACTGCCTCCAGAGTAGCTCAGTTCCGCTGAATCACACAGACTATAATAGGGTCATGTCTTAGTCAGATGTGCCTGAGCTACATTCAAGAGTAGTGGGCACTACGTGTTAATCGTTACCGCCGTTTGCTGGGAGCATATCCCAAACCTGACATCCCACTTGTATCAAAGGCTTAGGCTGGAGGAGGAGGAGGAGGAGGAGCAGCAGCAGCAGCAGCACGTTGGGAAGGAAACTAACTAGGTTTAACCAAGGAAATATAACTGAATGTTGCGGCGGAGCACACCAGACCCTTACCCTCCGTCGCCCCATGATTTGTCTTGATGGGCCGGCCACATAGTTGTATCAGTTGGTGCCACACCAGACAACATGCCACTGCAATGACTGTGCGTTCTTCAAATTCTCTACCTCAACCAAACGGGAAAATGGGAGAAATATTTCGCGGACCGGCTGACAGCTCAGACGGACACATGTACACATGTGGATAGATAGCATTACGTAAACTATTAATCAATTATAATATTTAGCTCATGCGACAGCTACCGCTTAGATCTGCTATATGTGGATGCAGCGTTGTTTCTGAGAAAAGAAGCTCTGACATAACCTCCGGTTGATTTATCTGTTTGGTTTCCACTGTAGCGGCTCTATGACTGTGTGAAGATTCTTCACGGACGACCAGCACATTTCCGCTGATCTATGATTGTCCAGGTCTTACATGTTGAAGAAATGATGCTATATAGCCGATGATCATATTTTACAAGAGGATGTCCACAGGTTAAACGAAACACGCCCAAGATATAACTTTCCCGCTAACATTCTTTCACTTGACAGCGCATTAATTTCCATTGTGTACACATCGCCACCTACTGTTAAAATTATAATAATTATTTTCTAAACACGCTTGCCCCTGCATTGTGCTCCGACACAATGAAGGTTTTTACTTTACTGCAAGAAGCTCTATTATAATAGAGCTCGGTCCGCTTTGGTTTGTTTCTAACAGAATGTCTTTTCCTTCTTCTTCTTCTTCTTGGCGTCGAGCGGCTGTACACTCCGGCGGAAAGTTCTGGTCGTTCGTCCATTTATGGACTTGAGTTTTAGGTGCACATCCGTTTTAACGATCTTGCTTTTTTGTATGCAGACTACTGCTTCCTTGCCTCTCAGGCAGACTGCACTCCGACTTTGAACATACCGCCCCTAATCAGTCGCCTTTTACGACATGCTAGTTAGTGGAACAGAGTGTATATTCTTTCTCTTCCTCGCCTCCCCCCCCTCCCCCCCCTCCCATCCCCCAAATTCTTTTTTAATGGCCAATAAGCCCCGGAATCTATAAAGGGATAACAGAACAGAAATAATTTCACTGGCAGGCAGACAGATCTCGGCAGGACAGAAACTGTTTCACTGGCAGGCAGACAGATCTCGGCAGGACAGAAGCTGTTTCACTGGCAGGCAGACAGATCTCGGCAGGACAGAAGCATGTGTCTTCTGGAAATTCCAAAAGTGCTTTCGAAATGTTTTCCTTCGGTTTACTATACCAACTGCACTGAAAGTTGTTTCGTTGAATACCAATTGAAGAAGCGATCTACATTTTTAGGCGCCTTGTGAAAAGGGGAAAACAAATAAGCACTGGGAGAAAGAGAGAGACAGGGGGGGGGGGGGGGGGGAAATGATAGAGATGTTGGAGAATTTGGCATCGCAGCATGGACGAAGATTGCACCAGAAATTCGAAGGCTTGTGAACAGACAATGTCACCAGGTAAAGACTGGAAGAAGAAAATAAAGTTAGAATAAGTAAGGGTTATTGTGTACAATAGCCAGGTGAATACAGAGAAACATGAAAATATGTAGCAGGGGGAACAAAAAGATGCAGAACAGCAAATAATGTAACCCCAAAAAAAAGTTAATTTAGAGTGATTAGCCATAAAAAGCAGTCGTACGTTTGTAGTAAAGATTTCTACACGACTCTGTTAACTAAGAGCAGTGGGAGAAGGGATGTGAGGAGGAGAAGGAAGAAAACGATGGCAACGACAAAGAAGTAGGAAGAAGAAAAGGAGGTGAATGAGAACAGAATACCATGGTACGATCACATTATTACCAAAATATATTCCAACAAAAATATAATTTTTAAAAACATAAGCACGCAGCGTGTGCATTTTCAAGGTAATAGACTTGGAACTAAACAGCGTTCCTTCATACGCACACTGTACACGTGAACAGCATTGTTCCTAAACATAAAGACATGACTAGGGCTGTCTTTATGTGCTATTCACTGTACGTGTCTCCAACAGTGTGTAAGAACGAAGGTAAAGAAAATACATGTAAGCTGTCTCACACAAATATACGACACACACACAACTCACCACAGCACACATACTACACACACACGCAACAATACATAGGTATAGACACATTTCCTTACCTGCGTGGGCTAGCTTGGCAAATAGCAGTCTTCTGACTCATAATGAGTGGAACAACTGGCCCAAAGCGACATCTCTAGACCCCATGCTCGATCTGGAGAATGTTGCCAGTTGGTCACCTTATGTGGCTCCTTCCATAGTAGTAGATATCGTTCTGATGTATCTGAGGGAGCGGCCTGTTACGAACACACAGCTGCAGCCTAACAAATCCTCCAAGTTACGGATCAGATCAGATAGCAGGAATCTTTTGGTTACATTGGCGAATTAAATATGTGTTCTTTGCAACATCCTGCGCTTAGCATTAATATCTGTAGGTTGCCTGGCAAGTCAAAATGGCGCATGGCTGCCTCCAAACATTTCAACATTACCGTGCACACATTCTTGTTACACTTTTTATGTATATTAGGTTCTACAGTTTTTCTGTTAAGCCTAAACTTGAATACAAGAGTTTTTCTTACTTCTTTCTTGCAATGCCTCCTTGTTTAGTTACATCTACTTTCTGAACAATGTGATTTACGTAAATAAGATATATAACGTCCAAACGAGTACAGTAGGAGTAAATTTGTATTCAATTATAGTAATTACAATTTTTAACAACTTGTATCAGTTCGTGTGCTGACAAACTTCCATGCCATGACAAAACGTTGTTTCTACACTATCCCTTTCTGTTCGCTGAGATAAGTTGTCTTCGAGACCTCCCTTCGTTCTAAAGATCTGGGTTGCTCTTTTGGGCTGTCAAGATTATTCTGTACAACCACATCTCCGGGGCCTCAAGATATTGTCTGGCTGTTAATCCTGGACAGGATTCATGACCCTATGTTTAAACTGACTGTATAGCGGCAGGTGCTGTAGTCTAGCGGCTTGTCTGACGGGGGCCAGACGTTTTTTTTTAAATGGGTACCGAGTGCAGTCCTTTGAAGTAAAGGCGACCGGCGTGATGCTAACCACGTTACCCACAACGTGCCGTTTGGTCTAGAAAATATAGGTTTAGCGCTACGTACCCAATACGCCTGAAAAGCGTGGGAAAGGGTAATTTACTTTTTAGTTTTAAATAGCATGAACAAATTCTGTTGTCCCCACTGCAATACCATAGATTTATTACATGAAATGTGCTTCATTTTATGAAATACAGTTTGAGCCTGTTGTATTCTATTCTCTATCTATATGACGTATCTTCCGCAAGATGATTACAATGTGCCTAGATACTTAAATTTCTGTACTTGTCCTAAAATAGAGTGTTATACCTTCGGGTATTCTAATTCTAGGTTATGGCATATGAAATAAGGTGGCCATTTGCTAACAAAATAAGAGCCGTATTGGTCGGATATATATATATATATATATATATATATATATATATATATATATATATATATATATATATATATATAAGAGAAAAACAATGGCTAAATGATGCTGCTGCAGATTCGACCAAATATTAAGAAACTAATTATTTTTATTTATATATATATATATATATATATATATATATATATATATATATATATATATATATATATATATGTATGCTATAGGACAGGTCAATACTGCCTCGGCATGCAGCTCACGTGGTGAAAACAGTTAATTTACCATGAGATATCTACATCATGTGGTATCGAGACCTGCTACTGACAGCAGTGGTCGAGCGATAACCTATTCCTATGCAAATGTAGACCGACTTTCGGCAATACGTAACGGCTACAGACGTGTTGTCGTTTATATAGAACCGCTTTGACGTTCAGTTGACAGGCAGCTTGATTAGTTCCACTTTTCTCGCTCAATTCTGCCGAAGCTTTTTCTTGAATGCAACCTCTCTTGCTCCTGAGGTCTACCCACTCACAAACTTCAAGACTATCTATAGCAAATGGCCGACCACTCACACAAGCAGCAGTTGAGCTGGTTGCATGACCAATGCGTCACAGCATCGCCTCACCCACGAACTGTCGCCGTGAGCAATGGGTTACTTCCCTTAAGTGTGAAGCACGTCCTTCAAATCCCTTAACTGGAAGCGACTATGTCTTTCCTCCTACAGGACTGTCAACAGCTAGCTCAAATTACGGTGATCAAAAACATAATATGAATGGACAGTATTTTTCAAAACAACACGAGAAAATATTTTAAGAAACAGATCAAACAAAAAACTAAGCATTGTCAAATCGTATATATGTCCAAGACTAATATTAGGCTGAGAATTGAACAATGAAAAAGAAAGCAGTCGAACGGCGAATTCCAGAGGTTTTCACATACAGCAGACAGTGTTTTATTTCGTGGAACAAAGTCAGTTCAGTCCAGAAGTTCTAGAAAGACTGAACAAAAAGATATTTAAATTTAAAAAAAAAACAGAAAACAGAAAAAAAAAAAAAATATATATATATATATCGGCCACGTTAAAAGACATAGCACTCAATGGTCATATTGTAGGAGAAGTTGAAGGCAGGTGAGCAAGAGGTAGGCAGTGATACAGTTGTAAAGTTGATGTCAAGAAGTGGACGAACTGAATTATTTGACAGCGATACTGTACAGTGTTTGAGATTTACTGCAAGTAAACTAATGGAGACTGAAGCCGACGGGTTAATGTAACAGTGATAATTGTAGTATCTTGAGCATCAGTGAATGTGATAGTCCCCAACCATACCGGCACCACCGAGTCCGGCCGAGAATAAGGAGTATACACCAGGTGCAAGCGGCAAGGTTAGACTGTCGGTTGGACGTGGGTTCAAATCCAACAGTAAAGGACCCTATTTCCACTCTTGGGCACACAGGGTCACACTTAGAACAACCAACATATGGTGGGGGATGTGGTCAGCATCATGCCAGCCGCCTTTATTTCCCATGACTTTATATGCTACCAATTTAAGGCTAAATCGACCTGTAGCCAGGGTCATTTCTGCAAACAATTCCAGCTCTTTTGGATTGGAACTCAGTGCCTTCAGATCGGCAGGCGAGCGCTATACTACGACGGCTCCGAATCTGCACAGACGTGCATGTTTGATAAGGTGTCCAGGTTTCAATGTCTGAGGCTACATTTTGTTTATTAGGAATTGGTCTTGGAAAGATAAGGCGGCCGGTGTGATTTTGACATCCCCAGTTGGGTGTCAAAAGGTCTATAAAAATATCGGTCGCAAAATATATACAATAGATCTTATCGATCGGCAGGAAAAAAGGGGAGGGGGGACACATGTAAGGATTGTTTGTGCGCTTTTGTTCAATGCATTATACAGGTTGGTGTTCATTTCTGTTAGGCTGCTCCTGATAGTGTCGCTCCGTTTCTTGCATGGTCTTCCCCTTGCTCTGTGTTCATTATATTTCTTCGGCATGGCTCTCTGTGGCAGTTGGTACCACGACATTCTCGTCAGGTGGCCAAGCCATCTCATTTTTTTAATGAACTGTATGACTGGTTTCAGTCCTAGTCTTCCGGTCTATCACTGGCGAAAAAGAACTATTCACTTTATTTACTAGATGCAAGCGACAGAGTCTCATTGCTTCACTTGCAGAGGACGGACTTGAAACAGAGATAAACTGACATATCACTCAATACAAGTGCTACAGTGCGGCGTAAACTTTATGAACACAGAAACTAAACAAACGTGTGGTGATATCCATATTAAAACCTGCACCATTGTCACTGAAATATTACTAAATACATGTTTACGAATAAAACTTTCGAAAAAAAGGACGCACGACGCTGGCATAAAAATAAACCTTTCTCCAAGCAGGCACTGTGTAAGAAACAAATATGTTTGATATAATCCATAATGAAATTATCCACAATTTCTTTTCGTGTTATATGTGGCGTTTCATTTTTAATAATCCAGAAGTCGCGAATCACGGCAAAGGCACAAATTATTCACCAAGTCCTTAGACAGCAGTTAGCCCCAAATTTGCATTTCGTTGTATCCATTACTTCAAGAAGTTATAAGTAATCACAGATGTTATTTGAAACTGCTATAACACACACAATAAAAATGTAACACAGACTGAACGGACACAGTTTAAAGAAAAAAAAAACAGCATTCGAAACAGCAAATCCTATGCTAACTGCTAGGTTAGTAGTTACTGGCTGTGTCAATAAGCCGTCTATAAAAATACTTGTGTGATGTGTTATCACTTATCACTGCGCGTGTATGTTTATCTACAACAGTGTGACTACATATTTCACTATCAGCTGCTAATCCAATGGCTGTTCTATATCTGAAACATCGTACGTTCTTGAAATAGTCCTACCTCATGTATTAAGAACATGGGGACAATAGATTTTCCAAGGGTGAAATGTGGCGTTGTCTAAAACGCTAAAATATGAAACACTGAGATTCAATTAGAAATCTGCATGGTTAATCCAAAAGGGTGAACTATTATGATTACATCCACATTTGTTCCCACGACCAGTGGTAAGTATTTAATCTTAAATCATTCCAAGTACACTCACTATAAATCTGCATTGCTGCACAACGCCAAGATAACATGAAGACGCAGCAACGTGGTTGCAGACCCAGTCAGATCCACACTTGGACTTGCCATACAGAACCAAACAGGAAAAAACACTGTTGAACATAGTTGTTGCGGTACATCGCTCGGGTGACTGCGCAAAGGTAAACCTGGGTTTTTTCACTGGGGACAGCCAAATCGCGCCGCAGACAGCACGCTAGTCCCCTAACTCCTGCTATTTCACTCCCTTCTTTTTAAAAGTAGCGGAAAGGGTGAAAGAAGGGGGTGAACACTGTGGACCCGAATCTTGAAAGGCGATCTCTGATTGGCTGACTCCACAACAATGGTGCGTGTAACCTGATCTTGAAAACCTTAAGTTAGTACAGGAGTTAAAAAGGGGAAAATATGCGACGGGACATTATCGCGACAGCGACACAACATTCACAGTAACAATTTTTAATTCCCCTTAGAAAACAATCTTACAGCCTGGTTATTGCCTGCGAAGGTATCTGGCCAATAACAAAGCTAAACAATGGATTGTTGTGTTGTAGTTGTGTGGCATTCTGAACATGTATTTTGACGCACGAACGTTCGTGTTGCTTTACTTAGAGATTTTGTGAGGAAACTCATAAAAACCAGGTTAGAAAAATGAACGTGTATTGAAAGGCATTCGTAGATGAAGACGAAAACAGACGACTCAAGAGGACCTGTGTTTTTCCAGCCACAAAAATCACAGCAGGCCGCCAAAAACAAAAAGAAATTCTTCCTTATCGTGTATTAATTGTTTAATCGGTTAGTTCGACGTAAGTCTCCACAGACCCCGCCCATATACACCCTAGCTCACTTCAGATTGGTACTTCCTGAGCCCTGTGGTCTTCGAACAAGGTTACGGGGGTGTTCCGCAAGGCCGTTGATAACGCGTGTTGTATATTTCAGCAGCCCAGCGCTTTTAACACACTAGAAACATAAAGAAACTGGGTCTAACACAACCCCCTAGAGAGTGCTGCAATCTGTGTCACATGCATGCTCTTTCTCGGAATGAAAACGTAAATGCAAGACAAAGCAGAAACTAAGCAAAAAAGCGGGATACACCCGTAACCTTCAGTAAAGTCGACCAGTCCAACAAACTTGTGAATAAAAAGTAACCTACTCGATTTCGGAAGACTAACGTTGAACTAACCGTAAACCCACCCCTCCCTCAGCAGCAGCACGTGTCGCACTGCAATGTTCTGACATGGGATTTAACCATCATCATCATCATCATGTAGCAGGTCCTTTGCAGAACGTTGCTCTTATCACAGTCTGCCTGAAAGAAACTCTGTTTCTCGCCAGTCCTCAGGCCTCATGCACTTTCACACTCAAGGAGTCACTTATACCCTGTGCCCATCTTCGTGTCGGTCGGCCCCTGCCCGTCCTTCCTGGTACCATGCCTTCTGCTATAATTTTTTCCAATCCGTCGTGACGCTTGATATGACCAAAATATCTCAGCATCCGAGAAAGGATGCTGTTTATTAGCCAATCTTCTTTGATGTTCAGATCTTTTAAGATGTCAATATTTCTCATCTTCATTTCAGCTCAAGAGCCCCTATTCTCTTTCTTAAGGACAGAGCTAGTCCACGACTCACATCCGTATGTAGTCAAAGGGAAGATGCATGCTCTCAAAATTCTAATTTTTTTTCTCCTGGCTGGTGCTTAACCATAGACTTTTAAGGCTGTTCAATCTTTGCATTGCTATGGCCATCCTTCTTTTAATTTATGTCGAACAGTCTCCACTGTTGTTTATTATAGAGCCTAGATATTCAAAGTTTGTGACATTTTCATTTTCTTCATCATTTATTTTGTTATTTTTGGATGACAGCCAGTTTTATCTGTGGACATTATTTTCGTTTTCTTTAAATTCAAGAACAGATTTTGATCTTCACTGTGCTTTTGGACGGACAATATAAAATTTTCTCTTCCCTTTACGCTGTTCGAAAGGAGGACTGTGTCATCTGCGTAGCGGAGTTCCGGAACAGGGTTGCCACCAATTTTGAGCGGATCATAACTGTCACAAGTCTGGTCATTTTTGACATTTCTCATTATATTTTCTGAGTATATATTGAATAGGTATGGTGAGAGAATGCACCCCTGCCTCACCCGCTTTTGCACTTCGAACCTATCAGATATTTCACCAGCTGCTCTGATGGCTGCTTGTTGTTCATGATAAAGATTTTCAATTAAATGCACTAAATGCGCTGGAAACCCCATACTTTTCATAATAGTCCACAGTTTGTAGAGTTGGACACAATCAAATGCCTTGCTATAATCAATAAAACAAGCATGAAGATCTACGTTGTATTCTCTGCATTTTTCATAAATTATTCTCATATTAAAGATGTGATCCCTAGTTCCTCAACCCTGTCTGAAACCCGCTTGTGGGGATTTAACCCAGAGGCGCTGACGAGATTTTGTGGGGAATTCACGAGAATTTCCAGTATCATGGGGAGGGGTTAGGGTTAGTCGGTGTGGTACAACTCACATTTCCGGCCCAGGCAGGTACAACTCACGTTTCCGGCCCAGGGAGGTACAACTCATGTTTCTGGCCCAGGGAGGTACAACTCATGTTTCCGGCCCAGGGAGGTACAACTCATGTTTCCGAACTCACGGACACCGTGACTGGCTATTTACTGATGTGTCCTAACCTTGCACACACTTTACTTTCTCCTAAAGGGGTGTCAGGTTGTATTCACCGCTGCGATCATGCGTGCTTTCTATTACATGATGTCATCGGTTTCAACGACATCAGAATATCTTAAACTGGCCCTAACACCCCCCCCCCCCTCCCCGCCTCTAACTAACAGGCTTAGCCTACTTCACACGAGAGACTGCACTCTACAAAAGACACACTGACACCACTGCAGCTTATAGTAAACTCTTCTTAAAGCTTAAGACGCATCAATGAAAGGTCAATCACTGTGTCCCTATGCCCGAAAACGTCAGTTGTACATTCGGTGTTCATTTCACACAATTACATCCCTTTACTATTGGACTTTCCCGGAAATTCCCTATGAAAACTCGGAGCTCCCGGACATGGGGTGAAATAAGGTAATAACTATTTGTGTCTTTAGTTAGACGTCAGGTGGGCCAAACACCATGAAAAGCTCTCTTGCAGTGTTGATGAAATAAGATAGACCCAATTACTGCCCAGAGCGGCGACGAAGTCGTCTACCGGCTAGCCAGTGACCCTTACTGGGGTGTCTGAGATGTGCTACTTTTGTTTCTCACCCAGGATAAGACTTGACATCG